CCGCCTTGCGCGAGAGACAGGGTCACTATCACGTACGCAAATTAGGCTGTAAACGAACTTACGAAACTGAATTAAAAAGTGAAGTAATAGGCTAAAAATGTAAATAATAAATGGCTATAAATAATAAATGTATATACCACTGCTGGGAATATGTTCATATTCCCAGTGATATACCGCGCCATAGTCCACTAAGCGTCACCAAATACCTTCGAAATAAAAAAATATAGATATTTTTTTATTTCAAAAATATGTAGGTTTCCTCTCAATGTTCTCAAGCTCTCAAGGTTTTTACAAACCATAAAAATGTGTCACAAGACGATAAAATATCTGTTGAGGTAACCAAGAAGTTACGCTTGCAGGTAGCCTATTTCATTCAATGGGATTTTAATATAAAAAATAAAATTCGGCAAAAACGGTTCTTAATGAGGAATTCGTCAGACGCCTCGCTCCGAAAAAGGTGTTGGTGAAGTCACGACTCGGCTTATTTCGCTGTTCCGTTAAATTTTAAGTTTTTTGTCGTAAATTTTTTTAAAGATATGACTTTTGGCTCCATGCTTAGGATATCGTTCGTTTACTTAAGGTACCTTAGGTCAACTGTATCCATAAAGAGAGCAATATAACATTAAAACCATTTACATACACGACAATCATCATAACAATAATATATAAGGCAAACAATTGTTTTTTAACTTATTTTGACAAATGAAAACGAAACTGAACATTAATTTAAAAAATTGAAATATGAAATAATATGCAAATGCCTTAAACTATTAAAATGTGCAATGGATATAAAATGCGAATTTAATAAATTTGTTTCAACGTTTGTACAAATATATATTTGAATTTTGGTATATACAACTTATATACAAAAATAAAAATTATTTGACAACTGGTTTTAAATTTTGCGAAGGCAAATCTGGAGTTAGTTTCAAAACAGTTCGAAGAATTTGGCGTCTTGAAATTAATACATCGGCAATAAAATAACGGATAAATATGTATATTTCCACAGGCGCGTTTACGACGACCGGTCAAACAATGTAGCTACATTAAAAATCATTCTGATACAGTAAAATGCAAAACAATGTTTAGTTTACAGATTTGATATAACTTTCCATTAGAGAAATTAATCGATTTCTATAGATATCTAGTAATACTTTGTACCACTTGAGAGGAAAACACAAATATCAAGTAGGAGATCACATTTTAGACTTATCTGAAAGCTTCAATTGTTCGAAACGATTGAGAACGCGATTTTTGTGTTTTCCATTTTATTTTTCTCATCTACCGTTTCCACGATACAAATCCTTACTAACATTCAATCAAAAAACGTTCGCCTGTTAATATAACTAATTTTACGTTTAATTTATAAGTTACTAACAAACTAATATCCAGGTGACTAATAATCCGGGTTGAGGTCGCCAAAGCTGTTGATTTAATGTCGTTACATCATTGCACAAGTGGCATTTAATAGACGAATAAATAACGAATGCGTGACTGCCACTTGCCCTTGGTTATGCCGCCTTCCGAACTAGGCTGTGGGTAGATTTGCAATAGAAGATGTTGCATCAATACAAACCTCACTTACAGAATTTATATCTTATAAATGTTTTTTTTTTATTAATATGATTTTGATTTTATATAAGGTCGAACTAAACTACCTCAGTTCAAGCTCTAATGTAATGTGTTTGCAATTTAAAGCAATATATTTAATATAATAATATATTTAAAGCAATCAACAAATTCGATTTGCTTTAAATATATAATTGTTTTAATTATATAATAGATTATTATTATTAATACAGCCGTTTCCTTAATAAGCAATGGTGATTCAACAACAGTAAGTTCGGCGTGACATCAAACTAAGCCGGCCTCAGCGACGCTAGGCGAATGCAGCGGTATGAAATATCCGAATCAAGAAAAAAACAGAAGTTAACCGCGCGTTAGCCACGGCCTTAGAAAATCACCGGCCAAAAATGCGGCGGCCGTACAAAAAATAACCCAAACAACCTGCGACGGCGCTGCGGTAATGCGACCGATCGTTCTGAAATGAGGCATCGAATTAGTGACGATAACGGCATCGTCTCCCGGGTTAATAGCATCGGAACGTTACGTGTAAGAGTTGAGACGCTTTTTTCCATACGGCAATTGGTTTGCGACTAGTTACATATTTCTCATTGTGGTAAGCATGCGCGTGCACGTCATACATACAAAAAAGCTTTGCATACCCTCTCATCTTATACAAAACACGCCCTAAAACACCCACGAGTTATAGTAAAGTTATCATTTATTTTTGAGTCAGTTAAAACATCTCACAGCCCTTTCAAAAACAGCTTTGGATATCATGTAAGTGACTGTCATGTTATCATCAATAACTTAGAGAAATTGCTAAGCTTTTTTCAGTGCATACCGTGTCTGAAATCTTTGTGCACGAGACTGGGTAAGCAACTACAGTTGATATAACTAATCGGGTTAAACGAAGAAGTCAGGTCCGCCGTGGATTAACAAAACAGCAATAAATATTTTTCAGAACATATTTTTAAATAAAGTTATCTAGTTCCAACTAAGCTTGGGTACTAAGAATACGGTTTAAATCGACATGGTTTATACCGCCGTCAATGGTGACGACCGTCGAGTGACACTCGTTTCCACCGATTATCTCACCCACCAGACGAAACGTGCATCCCATTTTGAAGGTACAGATCTTTTCCTTATTCATCAAGCATAATGATTTAGTTTTAAATTCCAACACATAACTACCAAAGCTATCTCTAAATAATCATACAAAGTTCGCGCAAATAAGAAATCCTGTTGTAAAAAATACGTTGAGATCAAAGGAAGATTTAGAACGCTTCATTTCCAAGGTTAACAACTCACTGGCATGAATACGAGGCACGATTCTTTTGTCTTTTTACACCTTTATAAAAAATACTCAACTGCCACAAACTTCCGGAAGCCATAAGTGTTTGTAAATCCCATTATTTCTTTAGGAACACTTGCTATTTTACACCAACGTGATTTTGTACCGTTTGTAGCAAGAAAAAATTCCATTTGTATTAACGAAAAACAAAACCGACTTCAATATCTTGCTCTGTATTCATTTTATTTTTATGTTCCCTAAGTATCTCCGGAGCCAAGTATCCAATACCAATTATATTAATATGGGACCACATGTGAAGCACCAGCTTTCAAATAAAAAAGAATCATCGAAATCGGGTCACTCATTCGAAAGTTCTGAATTAACAAACAAAAAAAAAAATACACTCGAATTGAGAACCTCCTCCTTTTTTTGGTCGGTTAAAATATCGTCCTTATATAATCAGCGATGAAGTGGTTAATTGAATCATGTTACGCGAGGACGGAAGTTTTTTTTTCTTAAAACATTGCCCTTTAAACATTGCCTTAGGATTACATTATCCTGTGTTGTAAGGACGTTTTACAAACATAAATTTCAAGCGGGCAAACACCCAGATGCGAAACAACTATCTGTGGGTCACACAAATAGTTGTCCCGTGTGGGAATCGAACCCACGAGCCCCGACGCCGAAGCCAATACCTTGGCAACTGCGCCACGGAGTCATCCAATGTTCTGTAACGAGGAGAGAATTTATTATCGTATTCATTAATGAAATTATTCCGTTCGAGGTATTATGCTTGCTTGCCACACATAAATATGTTTGTCAGTTCGGTGCCGACGCACCCTTGCTTACAATGATTGTATAATGCCAAAACTGACTTCACGCGTATGTTGTTATCAAAACATTTCGCACAATAGACGTGAGAACACTCTTCCCCCCGCCGTGGTCTCACCTCTGCGGCGCACAGCCGATTGTTTAGAAACATTGATGCGAATGCAACTAATTAAATAATGCTTTCGTCCAATATGCCGTTGAAATAAAAATCATCGAAATTTTTCACTTTCAAAAATATAAATTTCAATATTTCTTCAAAATAATCTACCGTAACATCGTGTTTCATAATACTCTAAATCTATAATGATGTAAAAACATCATGATAGAAAAAATCTTCTATCATAATTCCTTGTATTTACGCAAATATGCCACAATATCATTAGAGACTGCTTTAGTAATTTTTACAAGTAATTATAACTTAAATATATAACGCTTCCTGAACACTGCAGCATTAAATGACCGCTTCAATATAAAAATGGAATTTATGTTTAGGACAAAATCCGTTAAATACTCAGAACTAAATCCAGGGTTATGGATACTTTCGCCTACCCTTGCGAATTTGGTTCAGACCACCAAGGGAATATTTTTTTAAATAATAAGCTATTTCTATAAGTGTCTAAAATTTTGTTCTCTACTAATAATATGCAATCATTGTTTAACTTTTTTTCTTCTTCACAACGATATAAATGGAACTTTGAGGGTCCCTTTTTTCTCGCCAAAATACATCTGCTGCTTTAGTTCGAGTAAGTCTGTAACCCAATAGCTATCGATATTGTCTTATGTTGATATATACAGCGATATTTAAAGTGCTCGATTAAAAATCATATACCGTGATTAGAATGCTTTTGTAAATCCTAACGAATTTGTAGTACTAACATAATCTAATTCTAAACTACGAGTATTGTTACTTAATAAACTTGTAACACGGTCAATAGATTAGTAAAAATGTTATATGAGTGATATTTACAAATGTCTATAAAAGCACATAGAAAATACAACATATGGAGTGGTTACTCTGTAACAAATTTGATTAGTGCGTATTGAATGTCCTAAAGTTAAGAACCATCGAAACGGTTTCACGAAACTAAGACAAGCACAGAAACTTCCTTAGCACTTACTTGTAAGGCTTTAATCTTGTTATATTTAGTACATATAATCTACAAAGTTAATAATACAGTTAACGTTTGACGATTTGCATTAAATTAGTAACAAATTTGGACCTTATCGTCGACCGGACAAGGTGGAATTTAGTTTAGTTTTTAGTTTCGGGAAACGCGATTCGACCGTTCACCTGATTGTGTGCGCGTCTCACTGAGTTCCGTGTCGCAGTCCGTGTACTCGTGGTTGCAGTCGACGGTGTACGTGGTGGCGACGGTCACCAGCACAGCGACGACGGCGCACCACAGCGCCACAGCGCGAACCGCCATCGCGATCAAAGAGTCGCCATCTAAAAACGTAATATTGCCATAAGTGTTACCCGTGGGTGTCGCCATCTAGAAACGAAATACATATTGCCATTAGTGTCAACCGTGGGAGTCGCCATCTAAAAACGAAATACCAATAAGTCTGCGTGATTGGGCAGGCAGGTCCGGGGAAGAACGTCCTCATAGAAGACGTTCCTCGTGAAGTGGGAGTGTTATCCTTTTACGTTCTGTCTGGTGAATGATGTAATGGGTCATTACTTATCAAAAGATGATGACGCTCTTGCTACTCTACGGGTGTTGCAGATGTATATGGGCGGTTGTCATTTAAAATTAGGTGAATTTCAGGCTTGCTTGCCGTCTTCTCACTTAAAAAAAGATATATTCAGTATAAAGTTATCAGTAAAATAAAACAGTGACTTTACACTTTGTAAGCGTCACCCCGCAATGAACAAGTTCAAGTGTACATTTCTCTTAATTTCATTAACCATCGTTCACGTACGTGTGACAACTGATGAATAAAAGCATCCTATTCAAATAGGGATTCCCATACAGTGGGCGCATACTTTTTAAACAGTTTTTTTTAATATTACTTTATGAAACAAGTTTCATTACTATGTGTTCCTTCACACATCATACATAAACACGGATGACCATTTATGATATTTACTTGTACCAGCATCGTTATTAAAACGAGCACCCGGACATTGCACTACCGAAGTAGCTAAAAAATTCCCGAACAGGAAATGGGCTGTATTAACTACCAATTTAGCAAATATTCTAGAATATTGCCATTATCAAAAGCAGAAACACATAATTTCGACTCGCTTGTATCAAAACTGAACTTTGTTTGAGAAAGTTAAGTTTAAGTGAGTTTACACTCACTTATTGATAATCAAAGTAGTAATATTTTGACTGTCAATAAGTGATTGTAATGCTCCTGTGTTGAATAAAGATATTTTAATTTGAATTTGAATATCTTTTAAGTCATAAGAATAATTTATTGACATAAATAAACGCCTTCGTAATAAAACACCTCCAATTTCATTTAATTTCAACAAAAATAAAAGACACTTGTATAATAATACAAGTTTCTTTGATAATGCCAACCAACAAAGAATAAAATCATCACCGGAACACGTTTAACCCACATATAGCATTTTTTCATGTTCCTTATTAGAAAACGGGTCGAGACCACGCTGTTATCGTCCGACTTCGTCCAGGTCGTCGTACTGCAGAACGTAATTGGATCTATTACTGTGAGTCGGACACAAAGGTTATTTACAGCGCGGTAACAGGTCTTGTGGTGGCCGCCGTAATATATTTAACATTTATTCGCGGTGAAATTGGTCTCTGTGCGAGTTATCGAAATTTTGCGGGCAAACTTTATAACGGTAGTAGTTAGACAATCAAAAAGTATGCTTTTCGTAATCGTTTAAGGCTGGTTTCTCTGCCGTCAATGTTAACAGCGGACGGGCGAGACAGAGGTTGTGCAAATGAGGAGAATATAAATAAAGTTTTTTGAAGTGAAAACTTCTTTAGGCGCATTGAGCACATTTTGGGTGAACAAAAATCGTGAAACTTGCGTCATCGTCACCGAACGCTTTCGATGGGCTATATGTATACTGTGTATATATGTGTACTTTTTGAGTGAACATTTGAAATGCCATTTGACAGCTGGTTAGTTAATTTCTACGGTGATCTGTAAGGTGTGGTGTTAGAGGTAAAATGAAACTATTGAAGGCCCGAACAATACTGACTTATATTTTATGACAACAAGCAATATAAATGATTACAATCAATAGAGTAGCATAATGTAGAGAGTAATATAGAGTAGTATATAATAAATGTTTAAACATACATCACACCATCGCACTTAAAAAAAAAGTGTTTCAGAAACCGGACGTATGAGTCTCTTTCAAGTTTCCTTACGAAGATCCTAACCTCTTCCGTTCCATTGTTTTTCCTAACAAAAAGATCATTAGCCGTTGCTGTCCGGAACGAGTTCTAAAACCGGTAGAAAAAATTAAGAATGTAATTGTTGGAAACAATTAGGAATGCCGAGGTTCCACTCGCTTTCGCTGTTTGAGCGGGATAATGGTAATATTTTCGCGGGATTTGCGACCAATGAAGATTTTGACTAAAACATTAACATAAAAACACTTTCGCTGGTTGATTAGTGGCCCACATCATGGTAGCACAAAGATCGCAATCTTCTAGGAAGGGGGTTTCACTAGTATTTCGTGTTACTGTGCCGTTATGTGTTTAATCTTCGGCGATGCAAAAAGGCCCGTTGCGAGATTAGGTCATCGAACTTTGCCTAGCTTACGTAACGAGCTAGACAATGGATGCAGTCATTGTTCGCGTGTATGTTGGCAAAACGTAAAAATAAGCAGGCATTCACTTTCGAATGATATGAGTCGCGTGGGCCCAGAAGTAACTCGATATTGACGGAACCCAATTTGTCGGTATTGATTATCTGGCTACAAGGAGATCACCTCTATATTCTATAATTAACTATATAGTATAGAAATATATATTATTAAATAATGAACTGCAGTTTAATTTCCAACTAGCCGTAAACGTATCGTTTATACCTGTTTTGACCAATGAAAAGGGTGACAGGCCGTTACTTTGTTTTAACACATCCATCCAATTCCGTATCGACTGTGATCTTATTTTTATGATGTTATTGATATTTTTGTGATCTTATTGATACGAACTTTGAAAGAGTTAACGTTAATACATTAAATATTTTAATGAAAAATAATCTTTATGTGAAGAATGTTTACTATTACAACTATTTAATTAATCTTACAACGCAACAAGCCACACAGCATCAAGAAAAAATTAATACCAATTGATTAGATAAGATATAAGACACTATAAAAGTCCTCATTCATTCTATAACATGGTAAGTTCCGTCCGGGAAAGTACCAGCGTGAAATGGAAGCGTTATACTCCTGCGTTTCGTCTGGTGAGTGAGGTAGCCGAGGGCCAGTTTATTATAAGGTGGCGTGTAATGTCAATGGATGGCGTTTATCCACCGCCAGCTAGCTTGCTACCTTCTCAGATTAATGAAGACTTTTAAAAATGAATGGAATAAATAACTTGAAATTGCACTTAGCGGTAGGACAATTTTAAGGTCGACTATGCAACGATGAATAGCAGGAACATTTAAAATGGCATATATTAAGACATCTGTAGGGTTTCTCTACAACTCTCGAAGGTGAGATTAGATAACCTGTCTATTGGATCGTAAGATTCTTATTTCTACTCATATATAGGGCTTTTGTTCTTCATCTTTACAGTTATTTTTTTGAAATATGAATTAATCTAAATTACTTAAATATGCTTACGATACAGATGGCACTAATGATGACAAAATGTACGATTACCTAATTGTCACAGTCACTATATAGGAGCACATGACACTATGTGTGTTTAATACTTAAAAAGAACCGGTTGATAAAAAGTTTATTTAACCGGGCGTATGTTTATTTAAATACGAATACAAATATTGTGTCATATGAGCAAACTAATTACAACAAGCATCGGTTACATACAGAAACAAGTTGCCTATTAAAGGAAAATCTCAAGGTATCACAGACGACTGGAGTCGGTCAACAGCACCGACAACCAGCTTGACCACATTTAGTAAAACAAAAGAGAAATCACACTGTGAAAATATAAAAGTAATCATTAAAGCTTCTAGCGTAAGAAATCCTTCATACGTTCACGCATTGTTTCAAAGAGTCGTAAAAATATTAAGGTGAAAGAAAGCGCGGGCATGCAGCCAATGGCGCTTGGCTGACATTGGTTGACCTTCAAAGTAATACGACGAAGTATTTATGTTGCACTACGTAGTTTGCGTCATTGGTAAGTTGCAAGTGCATTTTAAGGTCGAGTAGTATAACAGTTTCAGATTCTGTGACGGTTTTCCTATATCAGGTTGTTTTGGTTTTCACATTTTGGACTGCACGGGAGTCGCTGTGGTTTGTATTGTCAACTTTGTATACGCCGCCTTTTTAGCGGGTTTAATACAAGGCGAAGAAATTTCTATGATCCTCACTTACTTGTTTCATCTTTGGGTGTACTGGGGTCTAATTACTTTTTGGGACACAGGCGTTCTCTAGTATAGGTGTCTTCTGTTCTTTAAGAATACCAATCAATTTAACACCAACCATCTACCTCTTAGTTGATGATTTAATTGATGATTTATTCAATTTACGTTAGTAACCTTAAATATTTATTCATTTCACTCACATTAGGGAATGCTGCAACAGTATATCGGAACCACTTTAATGCAAAAAAACAATGAAAACATCAAGGTCTCCTCCTCGTACTTCTTCTTCATATTAGTTCAGATCTCTGTCCTGAAAAACATCTCATCAAGAATGCTTTCACTAATGATTTACATTTGTGAATAAACTATTTTATAGCTTTGATCACATTTAATTTGTTTTTGAATCAAACACCTTTTAGTTTATTGTATCAATGTATTATATTTAACCATCATATCCATTATTTAAACGGGTAAAGCGCATTAAGAAAACGTATGAATGAAATAAATTAGTTGCATAACTTTCTTTTTTCATTTAGGTCATCGATGGCAGGTTTGAAAAACAATAGGCCGTTATAAAACTTCGGCTTTCTACGACCACGGAAAATTTCCTAAAAGTACCGTATTACACTACGTTCTATGATGTGGGAAGTTGCTCTTTATTAGTGGTTTGTTCGCAAACCACTTTTGTTATAATAGTGTATTTCTATTATATATCTTTCTGTGCTCATGAGCTCTCGCGTCCTATACCCAAACTAGACAGAGATTGGGAGTGCTATAAATTACTCTACTTTCCACCGAGCTTGTTAAAACACAAAACTCGATTTAAAAAGAAATAACACTAACTATATATATGTTATATGTTCAAATTGTTTAGCAACCCTTTTTTTTAATTATATGGCTAGGGAATATATTTTTGTAAATTTACGTCCGGTATTCTTCT